AGTACAACTGTAAAATGTCTTAAAAGATGATACTGGAGATTTTATTTGCATAATCCTTCTAAGCAGCAGCTAAGTTTTAAAAATACCATCGGTACATTTTTTTCTACATCTATCAATAGTCCATTCCCTATGTCTCTGTATTAGGCTAGACAATTTCCTTGGACAAAAATGCCATAGCATGTTTTATTTTTTATTTTCCCTTTAACGTAGTATGCAATTACATCATTATTGTTATTAAGCATTAAGAAACTATTCCCACCACTACAGTGAAATTGCCTTCTTGTTTACCAATACCTAATTGTTCAATCCAAGGGCAACTTTTCACTCACCACCAACTAATTTTTCTGTAGTATCTAATGCCAGTAACTACTTTCTGCTTCTTAGAACTTTTTGTTTCTTTGGCACCCAAGACTCGACACTCCCCTGGTTCTCCTCCTACATCACAGCCTGTTCAATTCAGCTTCCTTTTACTAAACCTACTTCTTCTTGCTGCCACAGAAATGGTCCCAAGGGCTGGCCAGTTAGCTCAATTGGTTAGAGCACCATGTTGTAACACCAAGATCAAGGCGTTGAATACCCCCTACCAGCCAGCCACCAAAAAAAGGAAAGAAAGAAATGGTCCCACAGTTTTGTTCCTGGCCCTCACATCTCCTACTAGTCTCTTCCTTCCTCATCTAACCTACTCCCATGGTCTCCCAATCTCTCTCCAGCCCTGGCTTCTCACAAGCTCTAGATGTGCACTTCCAGTTGAATACAGGACAGTTCCACAAGGATGTTCCACCCAAAATGCCAAATGTACCAAACCCATTTTCATGCATCATGTCCCCAATTTGTACATCATCTGTCATTCACAAACACACCGCTTTTAGTGAGCACTTATCATGGGTCCAAGCACTATGCTAAATGCTTCACATACATCAACTTTTTCAGTGCTTACAAGAGTCCAGTGAAGAAAGTAGTTATTCCCATTTTATAGATGAGGAAACCCAAACAAAGAGATTGAGTAATCTGCCACACAGTTGACAAGTAGTAGAGTTGGGTTTCAAACCAGTCAGTCTGATTTCAAAGACCATGCTTTAAACAAATAAACTATATTACCCCCCAGCTGCCCAGGCCAGAAACTTGCCTATACTTCCCTACAGCCAGGCACTGTGCATGGTCCTGTGACATCCAGGTTCCTCTCATCTGGCCTTCTTTTCCATTCTCACTGATACTACTGTACTTTAGTCCTCAGTGCCACTTACCTTCTCTCAACTTCCCATCTCCCATCTCTCCCCATTTCATCCATTCACCAATAACTCTCTTGCTCAAAAACCATCTATGGCTCGCAGTTCCCCACTGCCTACATGACAAAGTCAAAACTCCCCAGCCTTTTCTATCACCAACTCTTCTTCACAGCCATCATGTTCCAGTTAGAAAAAACATCTGTTATTCTTCCTTGACAGCCCAGCATCTAATCCCCTTCTTTTGTACGGGGAATTGCCTACTTCCCAGTGTAGAAGCTGAAATTGCAAATGTCCTTTCCAAGCTCCCTCACCTAGCACACAGCGCCTGACCTAGGCCATGCCAGTTAAATGCATCATCTCCTGACTGTCAATTGGGTAGTGGGCACCATGAAGAACCCTCCCTAGTAGCAAGAACAGGTGCAAGAAGACTTGAGCTCCTGGGCAGCACCCAGTATCCAGGGCCAGCAGTGGTCCACAGTATGCATGCAACACCTACCCTCTAATGGCAGCAGCATTTTCCTTGTGAAGAACCCTCCCTAGTAGCAAGAACAGGTGCAAGAAGACTTGAGCTCCTGGGCAGCACCCATTATCCACGGCCAGCAGTGGTCCACAGTATGCATGCAACACCTACCCTCTAATGGCAGCAGCATTTTCCTTGTGGCTCCTCACTGGGGTGACCGGTACAGTGACAGTATAAACCAGGCTGCATGGCCTCCACACCTAGTTTTCCTGCCACCATGGTGAGTCTGTGAGCTATCCAGCATCCTTTTAAAAAATTCTTTTTTGGCTTAAATCAGCCAGTTTGGCTATTCCCAAATAAGCATCCTGACTGGGAATTCAGTCAAGCTGGATACCTCACTCATTTCAGAACATGCCCTTGCTTTCCTACCTCATGGAACACTGCCCACTGTTTCTTCCATCCAGAATTCTTCTCTGCCTTCTCCATTACTCAAAATCCTTCCCATCCTTGAATGCCCAGTATAAGTTCTACTTTCTCCATAAATATAATAGCTAGCACTTAATGAGCACTTTCTAAGGGCCAGGCACTCTTCTCATTTAATCTTCATAAGAACACTAGGAGATAGATATTAGCATTATCCCTATTTTAAAGCTGAGGAAACTGCAGCAAAAACAAGGTAAGTAAATTGCCCAAGGTCACACAACTAGTGAACAGTGATGGAGCCAGAATCCAAACCCAGGAAATCATGACTCCAGAGCCCTTCCCTCAACAAATTACAGACCACAAGCTAAATCTAGCTCACCAGCCAAATCTGGCTCATCATCTGTTCTTACACACTCATGATCTAAGAATAGTTTATACATTTTTAAATGACTGGGGGGAAAGATCGAAATAATATTTCATGACCCATTAAAATTATATGAAATTCAAATTTCAACATCCATAAATAAAAGTTTTATTGAAACATAGCCACATACTGTCTGTGGCTGCTTTCATGCAAGACAACAGAGCTGAGTCGTTTTGACAGAGACAGTATGGCCCAGACAGCCCACAAAGCCTCAGATATTTACTGTCTAGCCCTGTCTGAAAAAGTTTAAAATCTTCCTTTTAACCACTACATTATATGGTCTCTCTTAAAAAGCCTTCCCTGATCCTTACTTGCCCTAAGCTGGAATAAATTTTCCCTTTCTCTGTTTTGCTTTGCACTACACTTATTTTCCTCCTCAGTACCTGTAAATTCCTTGAGGGCAGGAGTCATCTTTTCCACTTTGTATTCTCCTTGCTGCCTCACTTACTGCTGGCAATCAATAAATGCTTGCTGATTTTAAATAAATATTGCAGTGTGAACTTTTAAACAGATTCTAATTATTTTCCTAACATGAACATTAATCACAGAAATCACAGACTAGACAATACTGGCAGGATGGGTAAAAACAGACACTCTGAACCACTACTGCTAGATCTGTACATTGGTGCAGCCTTTCTGAAGGACAATTTTGCCTTGTTCATCTAATACCTTGAAAGTGTGCATTTCTTATGACACAGAATTCCACTGCTGGAAATTTATCCTAAGGAAATAAGCAGTCTGGTGTGTAAAAATGTGTGCAATAACAGTAATCATAGGAGTTAATATACTTACTGAGTACATATTATGTGCCGGGCACTGAACTAAGTCCTTTAAACACAGAACCTCACAAACCTTAGAGTAAACATTATTGTTAGCCTTATTTCATAAATGAGGAAATTAAGACTCAGGAGGTTAAATAATTTATCCAAGGTTAAGGAATTACAGATGACATTTTAAAGTGGGGGGACTACAGCTGACTTTAATTTTCATATTACTAGTCTTTTCTAAATTTTCTACTGTAATAAGCACATATTACATGCATGACTTTTTAGGGCAGTAAGGTAGCACAGAAATCTTACTCCTTTTTTTTTTTCTTTTGGAAGTTCAGGGAAAATAACCCAGAACCAAACAAAATTACATGCATGACTTTTTAGGGCAGTAAGGTAGCACAGAAATCTTACTCCTTTTTTTTTTTTCTTTTGGAAGTTCAGGGAAAATAACCCAGAACCAAACAAGCAGATGTTCTGTTTTACTTTGAAAAGTACATAAAGTCATCATCCTGGCCTTTGAAAACAAGA